AAGGGGAAAATGGGATGCCCACTTGAAATTGGGGAGGAGTATTAAGTGTTCCACATCATTAGATGATTGGTTGTTCATGTACCACGTAAACTTTCCCTCTCTAAACTTTCTTTCTCTAATTCTTCATCTTTGATGAATCTTATCAAATCCTTCAAATGTAGTTAATAGCTATGACCTAAAAGAGTACACCACTTGTCAAATAGACATTTGTGTTTCATGTAACGAGTGTTATATGAATGAGGCTGCATTTTTGCTCATCACTCTACTTATTACTATTTGATTAGTTTAAATTTTAAGAGTTATATTTATCCACTATACAAGTTTTGAAATTTAAACTCATTTAACTGTGACTAAGAGGCGGTAGTATCACTATCACTTAACAGTGATAAATCTACAGTCTAGTAATATTTCTTTTCACTTGTAAGTGAGGGGTCTTAGGTTCGATTCTCGTCAAACGCAAATTTGAACCACATTATAGCTAGCCTATTTTGAGGTTTAGCTTACTCTCACACTCTCTTAGTGTAGATAAAATCGTTTGTTAAAAAGAGGGGCGAACAAATCCAGTGTGTGAGGCATTCACTGTAGATTTACCCTCTGATCTCGTTTGGCACACCGTATAAGACGACTGGATAGTATCGATAATACGAAGTGGGTGTTTGGTGAGTTCTGTATTAAATAAGCACTGGATTAATCCCACTCCACTTATTTTATACCCTTCACACCCGACTATTTTTCCTCTCCTAAACCTATGTATTATTAGTCGGGTAGGCCTCTCTCGGTTACTTCGCCCCTCTCTCGTTCACTATGTCGCTCTTTAGCAGGCTCGTAGCACTCCTCCCTCTGTCACAGCGCCTGCTCACTTCGTCCCTCTCGCAGACTCGCGACACCTGTTCTCTCTCGTCTGAGATCCTTCTTCATCGTCTTCTTTTATTTCTCTCTCTGTTCCGCCCTCCTTTACACAAACAGCTCCCACCTCCTCCATTCGCCTTCGATCTCTGACAACAACAATTCCAATCGAACTTTCCATGCGTTGAAGGAAGAAGACGAAAATTCGAATTCTTCCGAATGATGAAGAAAAATTAATGGAGTGGGATGGTAATTCGGTGGGCTTTGCAGAGGATGATGAGGACGAGGAAGAGGAAGGGAGCTTGACTTTACCTGACGAGGACGAAGATGTTTCGAGCTTGGGTCCGCATCCGTGGGGATTGATTTGCAGTTGAAATTTGTGCTAGATGTTTCATCGGTGTGTGGATTGTTTTTTGTTGATCTGTGTGTGAATTTGTTTTACAAAGATCCTAAAAGTTGGATTTTACCATAAATTTCTGTAATTTTTGGATGTTTTCAAGAAATTTTTGTAATAATTATATTCAAGTAATGTTGTGTACCGGAAGAGGATCCTCTCTGGATCCACTTGGTGGGGATGCTAGAAATACTTACATTCTAGTCATTCATCGTATATTATATGGTAAGTTTTTATCAGATATTATTCGTATTTAATTTTAAATAAAAAAAATCAAATGATTTTTTATCGTACGATACACGATGAATGATTAAGATGTAGAGATCCTTATGATCCCCACAAAGTGGATCCGGATGGGATCCAATCCCCTATATACCAAACATGATATAAATAATACGGTCCATAGTTTATTATTGTATTTAATGTTCGATTAATTTAATCAATACTATTCGATGATTATTTATCTTATTTGACTGAAATAATCAGTACAGTTCGAACTATCAAACGAGACCTCCTTGTTTTTGAAGCTAAAAAGCATTTGCCCATTAGAAAATTTTCATTATGATCGGAACACATATGATATATTATATATTTTATATAAATTGTAAAAAAATTTATTTTTTAAGTTATTAATATTTTACATATATATTTCTTTATTTGTATAGTAATACGTAATGTATTTTCGGTAAAAATCCCTCCGACAAAAGGACATCAACTAATTAATTGCCTTCTTTGTCATTGTTCATTCTATGCGCACAATTGTCAAAATATAATTAGTGTGGGGAAAGAGAACCCCACTTTTATGGACAGTTTTATACACCCCATGTTTCCCTCGTGTTTCGCAATCGAAAGACTACAAACAATGGAACGATGCTTGGCTGATGAAGAATCAGCAGCCACTCTTGCTCACTGACAATCACCGTTGAACACGTGCTCAAGTTGATTAAAAAATCACAATTTGGACATGTGTCCAAATATGATTGGCAATGAGCAGAAATGACTGCTGATTCTTTCAGCAGCCAGTTAAATCCCAAAAACTGGTAAAGTGTTCGATCACATCACACAACCAAAACCAGCCACTTCTTATCCCCTTCACAATCCATCCTATTCAAATGGTAGATATCCCAATCTGCTACAATTCCAAACTTAAAAACAATGGGCAACCACAATGCTAAACATACAGAAACAGTAAGCCTCCCTCTCCCGCCCACGACGACCATGGCCACCGATCAAGCAGTTGATCATTCAGCATGGGCGCAACTTCTCGGCTCAAACAACTGGGACGGCCTCTTGGACCCTCTAGACCTCAATCTCCTAACCCTCATCCTCCGGTGCGGCGACTTCTGCCAGGCCACCTACGACGCCTTCAACAACGACCAAAACTCCAAGTACTGCGGATCCAGCCGCTACGGAAAGCACTCCTTCTTCGACAAGGTCATGCTCCAAGACGCCGCCAACTACCAAGTCTCCTGCTTCCTTTACGCCACCGCACAAGTCAGCGTCCCCGAAGCCTTGCTTCTCCACTCTCTGTCTCGCGAGTCGTGGGACCGCGAGTCTAACTGGATCGGCTACATCGCCGTAACTTCCGACCAAGTCAGCCAAGCCATTGGCCGACGTGAAATTTACGTAGCATGGCGCGGCACCACCACAAACTACGAATGGGTTAACGTGTTAGGAGCTGAGCTCGAGTCCGCGGCGTCTCTGTTGCGGCCTGATCCCACATCGGCAAAAGATCAAACCGATGGTGGACGTAGTAGTACCAGCAGTAGTGACGACGACGACAATGAGAAAGTGCCCAAAGTCATGAGGGGTTGGCTTTCTATGTACACTTCCGACGACCCCAAATCGCCATTCACGAAATTAAGCGCCAGAGACCAAATCCGGGCTAAAATCAACGATCTCCGGAAAAAATACAAGAACGAAAACCTCAGCATATCGGTCACCGGCCATAGCCTTGGAGCAAGTCTAGCAATTTTAAGCGCCTTCGATCTGGTGGAAAATGGGGTTTCTGATATCCCAGTTGCTGCTTTCGTATTCGGGAGTCCACAAGTCGGAAACAAAGCATTCAAAGCAAGGATCGAGAAGTACCCAAATCTGAAGATTCTGCACACAAGGAACACCACATCGACCTCATACCTCTTTACCCGAGTCCACTACTGGGGTACGTGGACGTCGGGACGGAGCTGGTGATAGATTCGAGGAAGTCGCCGTTCTTGAAGGAGTCGAAAGATGCGGGGGACTGGCACAATTTGCAGGGGATGCTGCATGTGGTGGCGGGGTGGAACGGGGAGGAGGGGGAGTTTAAGCTGAGGGTGAAGAGGAGCGTGGCGTTGGTGAACAAGTCGAGTAATTTTCTGAAGAAGGAGTGTTTTGTGCCGGCGAGCTGGTGGGTGGAGAAGAACAAAGGGATGGTGCTTGATGAGAGCAGTGGAGAGTGGGTGTTGGCTCCGCCGTCAGATGAGGACTTACCAGTCCCCGAGTTCTGACTCGTTTATTTTCTTCTTGCATTTTACATTTGTTTTTGTTTGTCTGAATCTTGATATTAGTTTCTAATAAAAAATTGCTTGTGGAGATTTCTCGTTTCTACTTTAAAAAAAATTTAATAAACGAATAAAAAATAAAAGTAAAAAGAAAAGTTCAATTACAGATTGTCAAGTGTATTAATGTCAAAAAAAGAGGGTAGGAGATAGAATCATGGCAATCAAGATTGTAATAGGACAAGAACTTATCAATGTGATTAGTGCGTACGCACCTCAAGTAGGGTTGGATACGAGTTCGAAGGAGAAATTTTGGGAAGACCTTGGAGACTTGGTGCAAGGAATTGCTCAGACGGAGAAGTTATTTATAGGAGGAGATTTAAATGGACACGTGGGCAGGGAGACAGGCAACTATGGAGGTTTTCATGGTGGCCATGGTTTTGGGGAGAGAAACGAGGATGGGGAAGCTATCTTGGATTTTGCAATGGCATATGATCTCTTCTTAGCCAACACCTTCTTTAAGAAGAGAGAAGAACATGTGATCACCTACAAGAGTGGGTCGTCAAAAAACACAAATAGATTTTCTTCTAATGAGGAAAGGGGATCGTATAACTTGTAAGGATTGCAAAGTTATACCAGGAGAGAGCGTGGCTAATCAACATCGCTTGTTGGTGATGGATGTACATATCAAAAGAGTGAGAAAAAAGAACAAGACTTGGAAGTGCCCAAGGACTAGATGGTGGAATCTAAAAGAAGAAAAACAAGCCATTTTCAAAGAGAAAGTAATCACCCAGTGTGTGTGGGATAGAGAGGGGGAAGCTAACCAAATGTGGGATTCCATGGCTAGTTGTATCCGAAAAGTAGCAAAAGAGGTATTAGGAGAGTCCAAGGGCTTTGCCCCACACCAAAAGGAATCTTGGTGGTGGAATGAGGAGGTACAAACAAAGGTGAAGGCTAAGAAGGAATGTTGTAAAGCCTTATACAAGGATAGGACCGATGAAAATGGTGAAAGGTATAGAAAAGCGAAGCAAGAGGCGAAGAAAGCTGTGAGAGAAGCTAAGTTAGCGGCTTATGACGATATGTATAAGCGACTAGATACCAAAGAAGGAGAGTTGGATATCTATAAACTAGCTAGAGCAAGGGAAAAGAAGACAAGGGACCTAAACCAAGTGAGGTGCATCAAGGATGAGGATGGAAAGGTTCTTGCTACAGAGAACGCGGTTAAAGACAGATGGAAAGGTTATTTTCATAATCTTTTCAATGAAGGACATGAAAGGAGTGCTTCTTTAGGGGAGTTGAGTAACTCAGAAGAGTGTAGAAACTACTCTTTTTATCGTAGAATCCGGAAGGAAGAAGTGGTTGTAGCTTTGAAGAAGATGAAGCATAGAAAAGCAGTAGGCCCAGACGATATACCAATCGAAGTGTGGAAAGTTTTGGGAGAGACAGGTATAACATGGCTCACTGACCTTTTCAATAGGATTTTGAAAACGAAGAAGATGCCAAATGAGTGGCGAACGAGCACTTTGGTGCCTATCTACAAGAATAAGGGCGATGTACAAAATTGCATGAACTATAGGGGTATTAAGCTAATGAGTCATACAATGAAGCTCTGGGAGAGAGTCATTGAGCATAGATTGAGGCAAGAGACACGGGTTTCGGACAACCAATTCGGGTTCATGCCAGGGCGCTCAACCATGGAGGCAATCTATCTCTTACGAAGATTGATGGAAAGATATAGAGATGGGAAAAAGGATTTACACATGGTCTTTATAGATTTGGAAAAAGCGTATGATAGGGTCCCAAGAGACATTCTTTGGAGGATTTTAGAGAAGAAAGGAGTACGAGTAGCATATATCCAAGCTATACAGGATATGTATGAAGGAGCAAAGACTGCCGTAAGAACTCATGAAGGACAAACCGAAAGCTTTCCCATAACTGTAGGATTACATCAAGGCTCATCCTTAAGTCCTTACCTTTTTGCGTTGGTAATGGATGAGTTAACAGGACATATTCAAGATGATATTCCTTGGTGTATGCTTTTCGCAGACGATATAGTGTTGATAGATGAAACTCAGGAAGGGGTAAATGCAAAGCTTAACCTTTGGAGAGAAGTGTTGGAATCTAAAGGTCTTCGCCTAAGCCGATCAAAGACAGAATATATATGGAGTGCAAGTTCAGTGCAAATGGAGGCCAAAACGAGTTAGGGGTGAGGATCGGAGATCAAGAAATACCAAAGAGCGACCGTTTTCGTTACCTAGGATCTATCTTGCAAAAAGAACGGAGAATTAGATGGAGATCTCAACCATAGAATACAAGCTGGATGGATGAAGTGGAAGAGTGCATCCGGCGTGTTGTGTGACCGCCGTATGCCACTGAAGCTCAAGGGAAAATTTTATAGGACGGCAATAAGGCCGGCGATGCTGTATGGCACAGAATGTTGGGCGGTGAAGCATCAACACGTACACAAAATGGGTGTAGCGGAGATGAGGATGCTTCGTTGGATGTGTGGGCACACGAGAAAGGATAAGATTAGGAATGAGGATATCCGGGGTAAAGTAGGAGTAGCCGAAATTGAAGGAAAGATGAGAGAAAATCGGTTACGGTGGTTTTGGACATGTGCAAAGAAGGCCTACTGACGCTCCGATTAGAAGATGCGACTATGGGACAGAGGTTCAGGGCCGAAGGGGTAGAGGAAGACCTAGGAAAACTTTGGAAGAGACCCTAAGAAAAGACTTAGAGTACTTGGATCTAACGGAGGACATGACACAGGACAGAACACAATGGCGTTCTAAGATTCATATAGCCGATCCCACTCAGTGACTTGGATTTTCCAAGTCTCCAACCGAGAAGTTTTCCTCACTCGGGAAATTAAGGGAACACTACCTCAACCTACATGCTCCACTCACAAAGCTTCAACATACAAGCTTCAACAAAAGAAAATTCAAAGAACTTAGCGAAGAAGGCTTTGGTGTATTTAACACAATACGTTGAAATGAAGGAAAGCTTATTTATTGATATCCCCGATAAGTTACAAATATGTACATATACTTGAGTCAAAATAAACAAACAAGAGGGAGCCTTCACAAAGGTTGCTTAGGAGAAGTCTCAGCAGTCGGTAGAGCCCCAGAAAGAGAAGGCACCGGAGGGGGATCATTCGGAGCCTCAGTACTGGACAGAACCCTAGAAGGAGGAGGCATCAGAGGTTGATCATTTGGAGCTTCATTACGCGGTACAGCCCCAGAAGACGAAGGCAATAAATGCCTTTGGAACAAACCCACAAATCTCTGATGATCAAGTAAAACCTGACCATCAGATTCCTTCATCTGGTCAAGCTTCCTCTTCATGTTTGTAGCATAGTCATGTGCGAGCCGGTGCAACTGTTTATTCTCATGCTTGAGCCCTCTAATCTCCTGTTTGAGACTCATCACTTCAGCCGCCAATGATTCAACTTGGCGGGTTCGAGCAAATAGGCGTTGGGCCATATTAGACACAGAACCTGCACACTGAACACTGAGAGCCAGAGAATCCTTAACAGCCAACTCATCAGACCGTTTGGAAAGTAGTCTGTTATCTTTGGGAGTGAGAAGGTTCCTGGCCACTACCGCAGCGGTCATATCATTCTTCATCACGGAATCCCCAACGGTAAGAGGACCAGTAGGGGAGACGAAGGATGGGCGCCATATGTTGTCTGGAGAAGGCGGGGCTGCCTCTTCAACAAGGTTCAAGTCAAAACGACGGTCGGAGGGGCCAGACATTTTCAAAGGTGTTGAAGAGAGAAGAGGTCGGACAAATCAAGATCTTAGAAGTGCAAGAATGGAGCTTCTACTGGTGGATATTCAAGTGTGCTTTGGAACTTAATGTCAGCCCCTATAAAAATCTGCACTCGACGAAGCTTCAGAAATCGAAGAGGCGCCTGCTCAGAAATCGAAGAGGCGTTTGCTTTCTCAAAAGCTGGGCTGCTCAGAGACCACGAGGGTCGATCTCAGAAATCGAAGAGGCGTTTGCTTTCTCAAAAGCTGGGCTGCTCAAAGACCACGAAGGCCGATCTCAGAAATCGAAGAGGCTTGCTTTCTCAAAAGCTGGGCTGCTCAGAGACCACGAGGGCCGATCTCAGAAATCGAAGAGGCACCTACTTTTCCAGCCTTGTCAGCACCTGTCACACGCACACTCAGCTTTGCGGAAATTATGGGCATTCTGTCGAAGATTTCTGGCGAAGTAGAAAGCACATGAATCGTACTGTTCAATCACCCACTTCCCACACGCAACAGTAGCTCATGGGTACCACAGATAACTTTGCCAAAGTTCTCTGACAAAGTTGAGACACGTGAAGCTTGCAGCTCCCACTACATCGCTCTGACCAAGAAGGGTAAAAGAATAGCAAAGAAACAACACTAACAAAGTTTAGACACATAAATTTTGAAGGTCTAGCTACCATATTATTACCCACAAGGGTAAAGGAACAGTACCACTGCTGGATAATTGGAAAGTCCCGGTGTGTCAACCTCTGTGTGCTTCGTGGCAAGGTAGACTAGCAAACATGCCCAACCTTTACTCACATTCGAGAAAACACTCCCAACAAGATTGCTTGCTCCAAAATCGAAGAGGCACCGCCCTCCGAATCTCGAGAGCCAGACTCCCAACATGATTACTTTCTCAAAAATCGAAGAGAGGGTAAAGGAACAGTACCACTGCTGGATAATTGGAAAGTCCCTGTGTGTCAACCTCTGTGCTTCGTGGCAAGGTAGACTAGCAAACATGCCCAACCTTTACTCACATTCGAGAAAACACTCCCAACAAGATTGCTTGCTCCAAAATCGAAGAGGCACCGCCCTCCGAATCTCGAGAGCCAGACTCCCAACATGATTACTTTCTCAAAAATCGAAGAGAGGGTAAAGGAACAGTACCACTGCTGGATAATTGGAAAGTCCCTGTGTGTCAACCTCTGTGCTTCGTGGCAAGGTAGACTAGCAAACATGCCCAACCTTTACTCACATTCGAGAAAACACTCCCAACAAGATTGCTTGCTCCAAAATCGAAGAGGCACCGCCCTCCGAATCTCGAGAGCCAGACTCCCAACATGATTACTTTCTCAAAAATCGAAGAGACACCGCTCTCCGAATCTCGAGAGCCAGACCCCCAGCAGGATTGCTTTCTCAAAAATCGAAGAGGCATCGTTCTCCGAATCTCGAGAGCCAGATCCCCGACAGGATTGCTTGTTCGAAAACCGAAGAGGCACCACTTTCCCAACTTCAAGAGCTGGATCTCCTTGGATAAAGCTTGTCTGTAATCTTCACACGCAACATCAGCTTTCCAGATACCACAGACCACTTTTTCAAAGTGCTCTGACAGAGTTAAAACATGTGAAGCTGGCAGCTCCCACTACCGTGCTATGACCAAGCAGGGTAAAGGAATAGCATTATTACTTGATGTTAGGGAGACTCCTATATATGTCGACCTCCATCCCCAACGGACAGGCAGACCTGCAAAAATGCTCAACCCTTCCTCTTATCTGAGAGGGCACTCCCAACGAAGCCTTTCGAAATATTCAGCTTTCTTTCCCCCCGATAATACCTCTGTAAACAAGCTATACTAGAGCAAGAATATCTCATATCATCAGGGTTAAAAGCAAGAGTATCCCATATCATGCTTTTTTCCCTGTCTTTTCCTTTGGCCTTGTTCTTACCTGCAAGACAAGGAGAAAGAGAGCAATCAGTCAGCACTTGGAATCAAGCTTCCAGCCAGGAACTGACTGCCTGGAACCCCTTACCTGATTACTTACCTGGCATTGCTCTCGAGTACTCATCTTCAACATCTTATGCTTCCAGGGAAGATACCGCATCTGCCTGAGGAACAGATAGGGCAAGTGAGAAGGATACAAGGAAGCATGTGGAGACAAGCGTAACAGCACACGTGCCGATACATCCACTACTCTGTCAAAAGCAAAAGTATCCCATATCAGCAGGGTCGAACGTACTCTAGATTTGATGGACTTGTTTTGACCCTCAAATTCTTCAGTCGGCCTTATACTCTGGAGGAAACCAGAAAACCCTCCAGCCCAGTTCAAGAATAAGCCTGTGGAAAGTTACTTCTTCAAAAGCAAAAGTATCCCATATCATCTCTTCTCATTTTTCTTCTCTTTATCCTTCATGCTGCCTGCAAGATAGGGAGAATGTGAACAATCAGCCGGAGCTCTGATTGCTTACCTTGTCTGTCACCTCTTTCAGCAGATCCCCTAGCTCGGCGACTTGGGGGACTCCTACTACATGGTTTGTATCGCGCTTGACCAAGCCTGAAACTACAAGTAAGCTTCAAGTGAAATTGATACATTACCTTGTGCATCTCCACCAGTTACAGATACCACCCCTGGATGGAGGAAGAGTACTTCCAGAGAAGATGCCACATCTACCTATGAGACAGATAAGGCAAGTCAAGACGATACCACACTCCGGTACTTAGAAGTTTCGTGGTTACGAGATCATTCTCCCACAATATTTCCTAATGTCATTTGTACTAAATCATTCACTTGTACTCACTAAAGGAGAGCTTGAACCTATGTACTTGTGTAAACCCTTCACAATTAATGAGAACTCCTCTATTCCGTGGACGTAGCCAATCTGGGTGAACCACGTACATCTTGTGTTTGCTTTCCTATCTCTATCCATTTATATACTTATCCACACTAATGACCGGAGCAATCTAGCGAAGATCACAAAAAGTGACCGTTTTCGCTACCTAGGATCTATCTTGCAAGAGAACGGAGAATTAGATGGAGATCTCAACCATAGAATACAAGCTGGATGGATGAAGTGTAAGAGTGCATCCGGCGTGTTGTGTGACCGTCGTAGGCCACTGAAGCTCAAGGGAAAATTTTATAGGACGGCAATAAGGCCAGCGATGTTGTATGGCACAGAATGTTGGGCGGTGAAGCATCAACACGTACACAAAATGGGTGTAGCGGAGATGAGGATGCTTCGTGGGATGTATGGGCACACGAGAAAGGATAAGATTGGGAATGAGGATATCCGAGGTAAAGTAGGAGTAGCCAAAATTGAAGGAAATATGAGAGAAAATCGGTTCCGGTGGTTTGGACATGTGCAAAGAAGGCCTACTGACGCTCCGGTTCGAAAATGTGACTACGGGACAGAGGTTCAGGGCCGAAGGGGTAGAGGAAGACCTAGGAAAACTTTGGAAGAGACCCTAAGAAAAGACTTGAGTACTTGGATCTAACGGAGGACATGACACAAAACCGAGCGCAATGGCGTTCTAGGATTCATATAGCCGACCCCACTTAGTGGGAAAAGGCTTTGTTGTTGTTAGATAGTTAGAGTATTCTTTACTTGTAAAAAAGTTTTAATTGATTCCGTGATTGATACATTACACTCTGTAGACTAACTACTTCCTTTTTAGTGTAATAATTGTTTCAAAAGAAAAAAAAATTTTTCTCAATTATTTTTGAGATACGAGCGTGGATATCGTTTGACTCGAAGATCAAAATTAAAACTAAAAACTAAAAATTCTTTTGCTCTATTTTTTTGTCCAAACTACAAAAATAGAAAAAAGAAGATGATTTCATCCAATGAATGGTTAATCAATTCGACATTATTCTTTTGCCTTTGGCAATCCTAGCGAAAGAGTAAATTTTAGAATTGACCCTGAAATCCTATGCTACCAAAAAATCTAATAATTAAGGTCTTTATTTGTCAAAATGTTGAATTTTGTCTATACATTATTTGTTGTCAATTACGGTAGTTAATTATGGACATATATTGGATCTTACATGTTTTCTAAGAATATACTGGCACAAAGGATAGTGATTCTATTAAAAAATGTTTGTGATGTATAAACTTTGTTAGATCAAACCGTTCAGGAAGCAATCGAAAGCATATAACAGCAAGTCCATTGTAATTTGTATGGTCTCAAACAAATGGCTGCAGGTGTAAAGATAGGAACCGGCTTCCCACCCGTTCCGACTCACCGAGTCACCACCATCATGTCCTCCCTCCTCCCTCCTCCTCCTCACCACACTCTCTTCTACCTCCGCGCCTCCCTGCCCTCCCGCCGCCGCCCACCCTCCCTCTGTCTCCGCTCCCGCTCCCGCCCCCTCCGAGCTTCCTCCGAGTCCCCCCCTGCCTCCCCAGGTCCCCTCAACTCTCTCTCTCTCTCTAGAAGTGCAGTTTTCTGTGTTTGTTTGTGGTTGATTTTTCAATTTGTTAGTTGTAGTTGTGTACAAATTGATGGTTGAGTAAAGATGGAAGTTTATTGGTTTCGTGCACAGAAAATGCAATCGAGAATGTAGTGATAATTGGATCAGGTCCGGCTGGATTCACGGCGGCAATATACGCAGCTCGAGCGAATTTGAAGCCGCTGGTGTTCGAGGGGTACCAATCCGGTCCGGGAGGACAGTTGATGACCACTACTGAAGTTGAGAACTTCCCGGGATTCCCAGAGGGGATTACTGGTCCGGATTTAATGGAGAGGTAAATCGAGCTAGTGAGAAGTATGACTGCGTTTGACTTGATTTGAATTCCCAATTGTCCAATTGTCTGTGTGGGACTAATTAAGGAAGCTGCAATGTCAACTGGAATGGGGATTAAGAAGCTCAGCATTGTTTGTTTGTGTGTTGTGTAGGATGCGGAAACAAGCGGAGCGGTGGGGAGCAGAGTTGTACCAAGAAGATGTTGAGTCTATTGATGTCAAAACTAGACCTTTTACTGTCGAGAGCAGTGAACGTAAGGTGATATATTGTTTTGCACAAGTTCTGTTCTTAGGCATCTGTAACTTTTAAATGCTTGTACAATACTACACTTTTCGCTGATTTTAATTGGCTTCTTTTGAACTTCTTGAGATGGTCTTTCTGCGGTGTCAAAAGTGATACTAATTGCTAGATGAATGTGATTTTCCTAAAAAAAACTAGATTTAAATTGAATTCGTTTCATCTCACTTACAATTCGAGCTATGAATGCCATTCATTTTCGAGAAGGGACAATGAGCCTAAAATAATTTATGCATGCCTAAAGAAGTATGTTCTTATTCTTCTGAAAAAAAGAAAAGTGTATAAATTTTTTGATAGCATGTTATATATAACATGCATTTAAGGACAGCTTCAAATATGGACAGCTGTGATAGGGATTGGCTGAACAATGCACAGGTTTAGTGATCAAGCTGATAAATCAGCTTGCATATTTTCAGCCAGTCCGCTAGATTGGTTGATAGATAGATAGGATTTATAAGTTCCAAAGTTTTATCAGTATTATTGGATACAGATTTTCATGACTTCATTGATTTCATAACTTGAGTGCCTAGATTCTTTTTTTCTTTGTCTCTAATTTACAATGTGTCAAAATTTTATGATAGCATTTTATATATAACATACATTTAAGGACAGCTTCAAATGTGCACATCTGTGACGGGGATTGGCTGGACAATGCACAGATTTATTGATCAATGGCTGATGGATCAGCTTCCATATTTTCAGCCAGTGCGCTAGATTGATTGGTTGATAGAGAGGATTTATAAGTTCCAAAGTTTTATCAGTATTATTGGATACAACTTTTTGTGACTTTATTGATTTCATAACTTTAGTGCTTAGCTTCTTTTTTTCTTTGTTTCTAATTTACGATGTGTCTCTTTCCATGATGGTAACCTGCACTTTGACTGTGTGCTGAATGATAATCATATGTTCTACTTATTATCTGGTTCTTAATTTTGCATTTTCATTTCAGGTTAAGTGCAACAGTCTAATTTTTGCCACAGGAGCTACTGCAAAACGGCTCAGGATTCCCCGTGAAGATGAATTTTGGAGTAGGGGAATTAGTGCTTGTGCAATTTGTGATGGAGCATCACCATTGTTTAAGGGCCAAGTTCTTGCTGTCGTTGGAGGGGGTGATACAGCTACAGAGGAAGCTTTATACCTCACGAAATATGCTCGTCATATTCATCTACTTGTGCGCAGAGATCAACTAAGGGCTTCTAGAGCAATGCAAGACAGGTTAGTATTAATTAAACTTTTCTTAACATTTATATTCTGATGTTGTTATGGGAAATCATCTATATTCCACTTGTATGGTTGGTCACTGCGAATTATTTAGACATGTGTGCACACCACTAATATATTTAAGTGAGTTGTTTGTTTGTTGTGCTTACTTTCTCATCTAATTACATTTCTTTTCCTCTGTGTCTCGTGTCTGATGGTTGAATATATATTGTAGTAACCATTTTAATAAAATTCTAGTTTTTTCATCCAGGAACATTATATTTGTTCATTTAAATTTAAGCATGGTGGAATTTTTCTTAAATTACATACTCATCAAAATTTTGATTGTCCCTCTACTTCCATATGCACATTGGTACTTTTCGCAAGAAAAGAAATGTGTTGAATAATTAGTGAGTGTACTGTAGTTTACCATCTCAAGTGCTATCTGTCTGATGATAAAATGCCTGTGATAGATCTAATCAGTTGAGGTAGTTTCTAGTAGTTTTGGAAAAGGCCTGAAGATTGGTTTATGAAAGTCATTTATTCTTGTTATAAGCTTCTTTCTTCTGTTTCCGTCAAGCTTGTTTACATCTATTTTCTTTTTGATTTAGAAAATAATTCATGTTAGAACAGAGCTGCTTTTTTGTTCAGGACTGGAAAAGAAATGCTTTATACCTTAAGATAATTTTCAATGATTCATGTCGAAAATTTTCCATTGTAGCTGTGTATTATCTACACAATGCCAATATTTTATAGCTCAGCCGCAATGGGATGCACAGTAATTAGCAGTAGCATGTTCATTGTTCTTTTAAGTCATTCCTTAATTGCTTAGCCGTGGACAAAAGTTCATCTCAGGATACTTATTTTTGTTTTGTAGATTCTGATTGGCTGGCTTGATGGTGATGGAATTAACACTAATGTATGTGTGAGTTTTCAACTCCCTAAATGTTTGTTTAACAGGTTGCTTATCGCGAATGTTTCAGAGTGTACAACAACCCAAATATCACCTTGCACTTCAACACAGAGGCTGTGGACATCATTAGCAATACGAAGGGGCAGATGTCTGGAATTTTAATTCGAAAACTTGATAGTGGGGAGAAATCCGTGATTGAAGCAAAAGGGTTATTTTATGGTATCGGTCATTCGCCAAATAGCCAGTTGTTGGAAGGCCAAGTTGAACTTGACAGCTCTGGCTATGTCTTAGTAGAGGAGGGCACTGCAAAAACTTCAGTTGAAGGTGTATTCGCTGCTGGAGATGTACAGGTAATCCGACCAAAACTTAACCTTTTTATATCGATACAGTTTATAAAATCGCTCTGGACCTTTCAGGACCTATGTTTTCTGTATGCCTCACTTTAGGCTGCAGCCTCATTGTACATACAGATATTGTACTTTTAAGGTCAATGATGACAAACTGAAATCAGTATATATAACTTGGTTGTTGGATATACTGAAGAATTTAGTAGAACTTGTAGGATCAATCGGGAAATATGCTATAACTTGACTGAAACTGGTGCGTGCTACAATTTGCTTTAACTTTTAGTGTGTATGCTATAATTTTGATAGCATGAAATTCATGAAGAAACATAGTGATTGAGTTTCACCAGAAACTCTATATGTAGGCTATTATATTCATTTAGAATTATGACCAGCATCATGAAAGGTGATGCCTACCTATTATGTTCTTTAACAACAAAAAAGTTATGAATTATTAAGTGCATCAGATAGGCGTGTTTGAAAAGGTGTTTTTTCTCCATTGGGTTCTTTTGTGCTGCATTACATCTACTGTACATGCTTGGCATGAAGCAATTATATAGCTATTCAAATTGAAACCCGCGTTCTGCAGTCCAAGAAAAGAAATAAAAAGAAAGATGAAACCTGTTTTTATCACCCAAATTTGTTATACATTTGCAAAACTCATCACTTATACTATTTGTAATCCCTTGTCATGTACCTCAATAGGACCATGAATGGAGGCAAGCCGTAACAGCGGCAGGATCTGGATGCATTGCCGCTTTATCAGTTGAGAGATATCTTGTGGGCAAAGATCTCATTATTGAGTTTCACCAGGTATAACTTGTATTGAAGTTTAACTTTATCTTTTCTATGTTTTATCTGCTGGATGATGTTACTGTGTTCAGAGGTATATATATGACACTCATACTATTAGACCTGTCATTGCTTAATGTCGTCTGGTTGTAATATAAATTTCTGATTAAACATCATCATTTTCATTTAAATTATTGTATGGTTAAAAAGTCCACTGCACAATTCCATGTCTACTTAATTTCTTCCACCATTGTTTTTAGCAATTATACATATATTACTGAAAGTAATTGTGACATTATCTCCCAAAATAAAGATTGACTAAAACTGTGTTGCTTTTATTTTTTCCTGCTGAGGAATTAATCCAATAACTCTTTGTTTTCTTGGCAAATTCAATTGTAACAGTCTTTGATATCACTGTTCATGAAAACCATCATTCTCATCTATTTACATTTGACAGCCCGTTACTGAAGAGGCTAAGAAGGAACCCTCAAGCAGGGATGTTCAAGAAGGGTTTGACATTACTCTTACAAAGCACCGTGGCCAGGCATGTGATCTTTTGCCTATTTGCTAGCATGATCTGACGAGTTCACATATTATTTATTTATGATAGAACTTTTAGTAGTTATATTCCGAGTTCAAGTTGTAATAACTTTTCTTGTCTTTGCATTTCAGTATGCCCTACGAAAATTGTATCATGAAAGTCCAAGGCTTATATGTGTATTATATACAGCACCAACATGTGGCCCATGTAGGACTTTGAAGCCAATTCTTAGTAAGGTAAGTTCTGTGGTTCAGTTCTTGGTGGTGCACGTTTACTTGGGAAAGAGAAGTTTGTCTGCCTTTTAACATTTTCAGTGACAGCATGTCTATCATTGATTCACCAAATATTTCACTAATCGAGGATGTGCTTTACTTTGTCTAATGTCAGGTGATAGATGAATTCGACCATAATGTACATTTTGTTGAAATTGATATTGAGGAAGATCCGGAAGTAGCAGAAGCAGCTGGAATTATGGGTACACCATGTGTTCAGTTCTTCAAAAATAAGGAAATGATCAGGTTGGTCAAAAGTTTTGTTCATGCATGCATATTGTTGTATGCTCTTCTTGTTTAGGCCATGGAGTTCTTGCTACCTACCATTGCTTTAATTTTCTTATAGCTTGCATAAACTGATTTCTTATTTCCTTTAGTGATTTTTCGGTTGTATGAGGTATGAAGTGTTTTATATGCCTATCTTCTTTTATTTTGCTTTAATCCCGAGATTTGGAAGATTTGAAATTGAGAATTTCTGTTTAGAGGAAAGGCATGACTGTTACCTGTGCTAGGTGAGGTGACAGCTTATGTTCAGTCCTTTCTCAATATTCATGTTGCCACATATAACTTGCATCTACATGGTTTCTGGATGTTCGTGACCCTAATTGTTTGATGCTTGTTTGTAGGACTGTATCGGGGGTCAAAATGAAGAGCGAGTATAGACAATTTATTCTAGCAAATAAATGAGAAGGTTCAAGATTCTAGTTTGCCTGATGTCCTCATTTTGTGGTTCAATTTTGTTCTTCCCAAACAGGCTAGTTGAGTAAGGCCTTCATTTTACACAATATTGTAGCTTGTATTGATCAACTACATTGTAGATTACCATACATGCAGAGTTGCCAATGCATCGTTACGGAATTTGATTTTCCGATCTTGTATTTCCATCCATTGTAATCTTAGTAGGGTTTAGCATCTTTTACATTACGAAGTATGAACTCACAAGTCCCATCTTTCAATTTCTCAGTGCGAAATTGCTCTTTTGGCTAATATTTCTTTTCTTATAGTTCACAATGAGAAATTAATAAACCTTCATTTTAATTTGTTCACCCTTATTCTTATACAAAGAGAGTTAACAAAAAGCGAAGAAAAAAAGCAAAGTGATTCTCACCGTTGTCTCCTCATACTCTCCTCATCTTTCTTTATTGTTTGGAATCTTGAACTGGATAAATCGAATAAGAATCAAGAGACTGGAACAAGAGAATGAGTGAACGAGAAAGTGGCAATGTGAAAATCACTAGCCGAAAGAAAAAGATGTCAATCACACTATGGAAGTGGTGATCCAAGACCCTCTTGAGAAGATAATGGATGAAGAGTTGTGTGTCTCTTGGAATAGGAGACAAATTGCTCCTTCTTCAATGAGCCTCTCTTGGAATGGTGTTGGAAGGTTGCTTTTGCAAAGAGTTTGTGTATAGACAATGAGGCTCTCTCCTTGTACTTGAGCAACAAGTAAAAGATGACTTTGACACAAAGTAACAAGCATGCCAAAGCAGCCAAATCCCACCATTTGGAAACCTCAGGGTTTATCCCATACAAGTGAAGGAGTACATCCTCACCTTTCAGCTTTGGATCTCCAACCACTAGAGGGTCAAATTCCAGCCCAATCATGTCATTCTTGTACTGACCCTGTAGTTGAGATGCATTTGGAAAGGATTTAGATTTTGCTAAGGTTAACTCATGCACGCGTGAGCAATTTCTGATTGTTAATTACACGCATGAACAGTCAGGAACCATTCATGTGCACTACTGACCATAGCATCTCGGAAATATTTAGTACTTCGTAACTGTATTGACCATGCTGCATAGCTGAGGTATGACATGGGATATCGCCAAAAGATTTTTGGTAGGTCAACCATCATCCGGGAAAGAAGAGATGGCATCATCATGAATACCTATGTGTACAAAAAAAATATTAGAAAATAATTGATATCTCTAGCATTACTTGACGGAAAAATTAATTTCTCTAGCATTATCCAAAACTTGTTATGATTTTAACTGGGATAAATGAATCGAGGTATGGCTTACAGTTATGCCGGCTGCAACTCCTATGGCCATCAAGAGGTTGGGAACCAGTGCTGCCGTAATTAAAGCGGTTCCTTCTGTGACAGCAATGCAGCATAAGAGATTGATGCAAAAATACAAGTAATGAGAGAATCCTGTGTGAAATTTGACCATGTGGTATAGTATTGTTCCAGAAGAGAAAGCCATGCCAACCACGAAAGGGAGTGAGGAGAGGAAGTTGGAGAGCACAAACAAAGCTTCCCCATAATGCCCGCCAAGTCTTTCCTGCCTAAATACTTGCATGGGATTTTAAAAAGACGGGATTAAATTTTATTGGGTAATGTTTTCTAACCAGACTTATGTTGTCACAGAGTAGAACTGATCGCATTATTACTGTTTCTGATTCACAGTCTAACAACATTTCACAATTAACATTACTAGTTTCGATAAGAATTCATCGGTCTTTACCTTTAGTTCTTCAATAACGAAGGGTATGCCTCCAATAGACAAGCAGATCATTAAACCATCACACTTTCCTCTTGCAATAATTGCTTGATTGTTCGTTCCAATGTGGAAAAAGAAAGAGCCAGCACTCACTGCAATTAGTATGTAGAACACACTCCTTAACCAATAGTACCCAATATCTCTAGACATGTTTATTGAAGATCGACTGATCAATGTGCATAGCTGCTTCCACCAGATGGCACTACTTCCTTTGTTTGATTTTTCTGCCGGTTTTTCCTGCGATGTTAAGAGTGGTTAGACATGGTCAGGAACTAGTATATATGAGTAATAATATAAAAGACGAAATGCACGTTCCTACAGTCTTTCAGTAATTAACTTCCACATATTCTGCTTAACAGGTATGCCGTTCTTCTATTTAGTTTGAATTAAGTACTGCATACAGTGAGCAAGATTTCTCAGATCCTTTTTCTTGCATCTGTTGATAATGCGGACGACTTGTACGCATTGATTAGCTTTCCCTTGATCTCATCTATTGTCAGGTTGTTTTGCGAAATTAAAGAATCTGTAGATGCCTGCCAAGAAAATAACAAAAGCATTTTAACTCACGAAAAATTAAACCTTTTTATAGAAAAAGAAAGAAAAGGGTGCACATACATAATTAATCCTTTGAGATAGCATAAGAGCTGCTAGAACTTTGTCAAAGTCTGAACTAATGCATCGAAGGAAGTGTTCTGGAGGATTTTTTCGTGTTGGGCAAGGAAATCCGGCATCAGCGAAGAACTGAAGTATAAGAATGTAAAACCATTAGCAAGCAATCATTCTAAGGCTGAGAATGTATTAGTGTACATGTCGATCAATATCTTACAAAGGAAATACAGGGTTAAGAATACGGCCATATGTTTTGCTTCTCCTATGTAATCAATATATTTACCTTTACAGCCATCTTTGCTTCTCCAAAATAAACAGTTTCACCTCCTTCTAAGAGGAGCAGGTCGTCAAAGAGATTGAAGACATCGATACTAGGTTGGTGAATTGAGCAAATGACTATTCTTCCATCACGAGAAATGTTTCTCAGTGCTCATATCACAAAGAAAGAGGAAGCACTGTCGAGGCCGCTGGTGGGTTCATCAAGCAGCAACACGTGAGGTTGTGTAAGTACTTCAATACATATGCTGAGTCTCCTCTTTTCTCCGTTACTTATGCCTCTCAAATGCCAGTTTCCGATGTTACTTCCAGCGCAATCTTGAAGCCCCATTTTTGTGATAGTGTTTTCTACCACCTCATTCTTCTCCTCTTTGGTCATTTTACAAGGAAGCCTTATATGAGCTGAATATGTTAGGGTTTCTCTGACTGTGAGTGATCCCAGGAAAAAGTCCTCTTGAGTTACATATGATTGAAATATTGCAGGCATACAAAAATTAACACACATTATTTGGGTCTTTAATTCATATAATTATAAGAACAAAACTCGCAGGTCATATGTTCATTTGAAGGATGTCCTAAAGTTACACTTACAATATCTGTGGTAGTGTCTGCTTCTTTTGTTCCCATTCAGTACAACATCCCTAGACATTTTGACATTTGCAGGAAGCCTCCCTGATAATATCCAAGGGAAACATTACATGCATATGAGGAAATTTTTACCAGAATATTACAATCAGTTCAAACTTCTGGGCATAATTAATTATCAGTAAGGATTAAGAGCAGACCTGACCGGGCTTAAAAATTGTGCTTGATGCCCAGTTAATAGAGTTGGGTCAGCCTAGTGTACTGACAAATTCGGTTAGACCGGATCACCAATGATGATCCACGAAGTTTTGTTTTAGCTTATTCATTAAAATGTCTCTTAATTAACGTTGGTCAATTTTAATTATTGCTAACATGACACGAACAAACCAATTATTTTAGCAGAATATATGTCACCTAAGTGTCATGTTTGCGAAAAATATAACAAAAAGAAAAAAAAAATCTATTTTAGAGTAAATTATTGAAGTATAAAATATACTATTTTGACAAAAAAAAAAGTATAAAATATAATATGTTTCAAATAATTTTTTTTAAATCCCCATAATTTAAATATTATATGTATTACATTTTCCAGTTGATTAATTAGTTAATGTTTATTTGGTTTAGTTGTGTGCTTATAGTAAATATCAAATGGAAATTGTTCAAAATTGATTTCGCACCCCTCCATTCACACTTTTTGTTTATTAATGATTTTTAGAATTTGAAATAGAATAAATTAAAAATGATGCACAAAAAAGAGAAAAATGTAAAAATATCATTTCCCATGATTCTACGGGAATTGCACAAAAGAAGATGATCTGGTCTCAACGTAAGAGATGATGCATCATAGTAGGCATGAGGGATGATCTATTGGACCATTAATATAGCAATATTAACAAAGTTTGCACATTTATCCGGTTCCTCAACTGTCTATCCCAAACCATGCTCTAATGAATTCTGATGTTGGCAGACATTTACAGTCCAATTACTGTAACTAATAATTGTTCACGCAGTTTGCACATGTTGATGCATGCTTTAAGGGGATCCACAAAATATCGCACATAACACAATGCCACACAAAGTGGTACACTATCTGGTATGATGTAAAAAATGGTGTATTGATTCGTATTTCGGTCAAATGAAAAAGCCTCTCCAATAATGAACTTATTTACATGATTTTAATCTAATTTGTGTTATAAAGAAGAAAATTCAAACTTGATTGCTAAGAGGGGCACATTGCCTTAGTTAACTTGTGTAGTACATGTCAGGAAAACTTGTAATATATTTTTTTTATTCAAGTGATTTTTTAGTTTAATTTATGATACAAGGAAGAAAATTCAAACTTGGATGTAGAGACCGGGCACATTGCCTTAGTCAACTAGTGTAGCACATGTCAAAAAAACTGGTAATGATTTTGATACAAAGGTTTGTTTATGTTAAATTTGACTTTGGATAAATGAAAACAATATCAATATAAACATTATTAGTTTGGATTCCATGCAAAAACATCGATTACTCAAGATTTTTAGATTACTCATGAAGATCATAAATGGCCATGGTTTAGTATTATTTCTGTTTAACCCAACTGATTGATGTTGAATTAATAATAATTTCTTAGTTCTCTTTTATTTATTTATTTTTCTTCCTGAAGCAGAAGCTCAAACAAGCATTTTAACCTATAAGACGAGGGTGTTTTGAAGGGAACGACTAGACAAGTCAAACACCATAACGTATGTGCATGTGTAGCCGAATAATAACATTCATTTTACGATAAAACAATATCTTCGGGTTCTGTCATCGAGATAGAGAGAGGAGATGTATGAATATATATACCAGCCAAGGCATCAAGTACGGTTGATTTTCCAGAGCCTGAAGGACCCATGAGTGCCATCATCCGGTCAGGTTCAGCGTAGCCACTAATCCCATTTAGCAACTTTCTCGACGTTGCACCATTTTTCAAGTTCGCCACCACCGCCACCGTTATGTCCTCCCACACCAAATACTTCCCTGCACCTGCACCTGCACCTCCAGCTGATCTATTATTATTATTCTCTGTCGACCTCTCTGCCATTTTTACACAGTTGTGCTCAATGCTCACTGCAAACTCTAGAAATACTCTTCTCACATTTATAAGCACTACCCTAGCCTTAGCGACAACCGAAACACGTTCTCTCATAAAGTAGGATGCTTAAGAACATGGGTATGGATGGTATACGGTAGTTTAGCTTACGTTTTCTTTTATCTTGATCATATTTTTAATTTACTCAAATAGTTAAGGTTTCATCATAAGATTATTCATAGGCAATATATACGGAGAGTAGTCCGTAAAGAGTAATGGTATACTTATCACATATTTGTACCATCATTTGTATCTTTTCTCTAATAGAGTTAGGGCCCAGCAAAATATGTGAGTCTCATTTCTATTAGAAAGGTGGTACAAATGATGATACAAATATGTAGTAAGGGTAGCATTTTTGGTTCAGAAATTTGTAGTAGCCCTTACAAAATTTGGTAAACTTATGATACATCTTTCATTTACACGAAATGACTAGGTCACTTAGTACTACAGTCCAATGATATTCCTCTTTACTTGTATTTGAGAGGCATTTGGGTCAAATTTCGTAGATGACGAATTCGATACCAAATTAGATTGCACATCGTGTGGCTTAGCCGAACTCCCCCTACTCTTAATGTAACATATATCGTTGTACTAAGTAAAATGACTAGAATAGTCATGAATTGAGGAAGAGAAATAAGGAAAGGGGATATTAGGGTTACATATTTTAAGGTGGGACCCACACTACTCTCAATTTTTCCATGCGGTAATGAACATTAGAAAGTTATAAAATAGAATGATTCTGATACCGCATATTTTAGTAAACACATGAAAGTTAGGAATCAAATTAATTTCAATTTTCTATTCTTTTCAAGTAAATATGTCGGTTGTTTGACAATCATTTTCTTTTCACTTTTTATTTTTTATTTTTTTTATATTATTGTAAACACGGGAATTCCTGCGATGAATGAGATAAGAACACGTGTACAAAATAATATTTTGTATTAATGATTTAGGGGTTACAATCTCTTCTACAAATTTAGCCTCTGATTCTATCTTTGTAATGGGTAGATTTGATGTTGTTGATCCAAAGGGCCGTCGGGGCTTGATCTTTAGGATAAACGGATGATGAATGATGAACACTTTCTTCAAGGGCCGTCGGGGCTCGATCTTGAATTAGTGGAAGTTTCTTCAAGGGCTGTTGGGGCTTGATCCTGAAGGATAACGAAGATGACTTTCTTGATTCTTCGGGATTTGCTTGAGAGCTTTAGAGTTTCGAGGCTTCAAGGCTTTGGTGTGATGTGAATTCTCTTCCAATTTGAGGGTAGAGAGAAAGTATGTAAAATCCTCCCTCCTTTGCTTGATGGAAAAGCCTATTTATAGACTTTGAGAATGAATCACCACCATCCATTTGTTTGGTGAAGTAAGTGGATGTTGTAGGTGGGATGAGTGTATGATGTATGTGAAGTGAGTGTATGATGTAGGTGAAATGAATGGGGGGTTGTAATTTTAATACAATTGTCAATACTTATTTCACCAAAAGTTCAATGTCTACAAATTGAAGAAGGTCAGGGGATAATGTCAGATGCTGCAAAGAATTTTCTTTGAAAGATCAAGGAAGTTCGCAGCATTTTCATATGAACCCTGAGCAATTTGGTTAATGGTATGATCTTCAAGGGTTGTCAAGACTTTGCTCTTCG